GAACAGTACCCTTGGTGCCCTCATTTTATTTTCACTGGATAAAATCCTCTAAGGATACAGTCCCCAGGCCCCCAAATCCCCATGGGTTATAAGATTCCAGTTCTCATGCAGGCATTGAGTGTCTTGAAGCTCTGTGCCAATGAAAGAAAGAAAGAGAAAAGAAAGAAAAAGAGAGAAAGAGAGAAAGAGAAAGAAAGAAAAGAGAGAAAAAGAAAGAAAGAAAAAGAAGAAAAAGAAAGAAAGAAAGAAAAAAGCTGTTCTGCCTCTTCTATCCCAATTGCCAGCATAACTTTAAAAAGACAAATAGAATTTTATTTTTTACTTACATATATTCTAGTAGGCCGGGGGAGCATATAATTTTCAAATTAAACTTCGTTGTTCGAGCCAGTGGGACCAAATAAAATTAGGAGGATGGTGGCGGCTTCCCTCCCCTCCTTTTTTTCTCTATAAATCTAAAGGGGCGAAGCTGATCCGCGATGTGTATTGAATGGCTCCAAGTCACTCGGGGCAAAATTGCTTTAGGAGATTATTGCTACAGAACGTGTCTGTCTGAGTTGATGATCAGAGGTTTCGATGGCTTGAATCGAGAGCCAGAGGCGGCCAGGTGGGCGGTAAAACCCCTTTTGGACCGTCCCCTTAAAAGGGTACCTTCGGACCGAGAACCGCTAAAGCTTCCAATCAAATCGGGACGCTACAGAATGTGCCTCGGCAGGTTTCAGGTCGCTTGATCATGAAAGAAAACAGAATCCTGCCCCCTTCGCGAACCTATCTGCCCGCTGATAAAACGAGATTAATACGCTTGGGGAATAGACCTCTCGATAGCTGTTAGCCGCGAGCGCTCAACGAAACCTCCATGTTTAGGAGTAGTGCACCTCCAAGGACCAAAGAATGAGAATAACCCGAGAGGGTGGGAGTTCGGCAGAGGGCGACCAGCAGGCCAGAGAAGGCCTGGTCTGGTCCAGGAGGAGCAGGCGGGAGAGGAGGTCTGGGTCGCGTCTTTTCAGCGCGGGGAGGGCGGCGGCGGCGGCGGCGCCACTCTTGCCTTCCAAGTTGGTGCCCGGGGCTTGGGGCCATGAACGAGCTGCAGGGAGAAAGCTCGGCTCTTTCTTCTCCTTTTGATGCACCAACAGGAAACACATTGGCGGAAATGTTGCCCTCGCCCACTGCGGCCTGCTTCCAGGGTCTTCTGCCCGCTGGCGCACGTCAGAAGGGGAGAGCGAAGGCTGGCAGGAGAGAGAGCCGGGCTGACTCGGTCCGGCTGCCACCCCACCCCACCCCCGGCAGATCGGGTCTTTAGTCCTTATTAACAACCAGCTGTCCTTTAGAGGAGTCTAGTTGCCCGTCTAAATCAGCTGACTTGCTTCTTAACTGGGTGGGGTGGGGTTACGATTTTAGGAGGGTGGCGGGGTTGAGAGCTATTGTTTGCTGTGGGTTTCGCCTGTGGTGGGAACCCGACCCTTTTGCTTGGTAACCTATGTTTCATGACTGCGAGTTGATCGTATGAATAAAGCCAATCGCCATCAGTTCAGTTCGGGGGTTCAGTGCCTCCAAAACTGCTTTGAGGGTTTGGTGCGAGCCTCCCTCGAAACCTAACCCACCCGCTGTCTCTGGGCATTAAAGGGACAGCGCGATGCTCCACCTGTTGAAAGGAAGCCCCCCCAGCTCGACTGATTTACACTACAACTCCCACGATCCCTTGCCCTTTCAAACTGCCTGGGGCTGATGGGAGCTGAAGCACGTGGAGGGAAGTAGGTTGCCTCCCCCAAACCATACTGGAACACGGCAGTCTTCTCGGGACGCCCCCAACCATATATTAACCAAGCACGCTTTGGCCTATTGTATATCGTCCTGCTTCAGGGTGTCCTTCAAATCATACAGCTGGATTGAGTAAATTACGAGTAAAGTAACAGGGGTTTGCGCGAATACACCCTCCTAGTAGATATTGGCAGAATGGGGCTTGGAATTCACAAGACCTGCGTGGGATCGCGCAGTAAGGCCTGGACTGCAGTTGGGCCCAAAAGCGAATTTTAGGTCTGGGAAAGGAAAGGGGACCCCTCACCGTGTAGTTTGTTTCTGCCAAAATGTTTTTGGCGAAACGGGGGCTCCCCGTTCGACTGGGAAACAGCCCACTTGGCAGCAAAATAAGCGATTCTCTTCCCGTCTGTAGTCTTCAGTTTTCTCAGCGTTTAAGGTACCGCAAGCCTCGCTGGTGTACTGATTAAATATTCCCAATATACCCGCCTGAAAGAAGATAAAAATGGGAAATATTTGTTACCCGAGCGGTAATGTTTGCAGAGCTCCGACCAGACCCTTCCCAACGCGCATGTGTTTGTCATGACACATCTGTGGCCAGGTGAGGATTTTAATGCTGTTTAAACACCTTTTGAAAGAAGCCCGTAAAGGGAAGAAGAGCGACATCTCTGCCACTCCACGCTCTTCTTACGGAGCGATTTATCAACGAAACGCTCGAATCTCGGCCGCTTCCTTGACGGTCACCTCGGGACGGCGCCAAATAGCGCAGGCAGAGAACTTCCCATCTCCGCGCCCCGCTTTGCAGGCTGCCGGTTCCCCCAACTCTGAAGTAACCGAACTGGGCGGGGGGACTGGGGTTGGCTCGTTTTTTCGGGATTAACGATCAGCGGAATTATGAACGAGCGCTTTTTCCGAGTTTAGCCAAGGGAAGGGAAGTACTCCGGAGTAGACAAGTGAGGGTCTGGGACGGGAAGGCGTAGGTCCATAGCGGGAAAAGTGCGCCCGTCCGGCGCTCCCTGACCCGCCCCGGTGCGTCTCTTGCAGGAAAGCCGCTACTCTGGAGCCCCTTCATGCAGAGGCCACTGCACAAGCGGAAAGGAGGCCAAGTGCGGTTTTCCAACGACCAAACCATCGAGCTGGAGAAGAAGTTCGAGACGCAAAAATACCTCTCTCCGCCGGAACGGAAGCGCCTGGCTAAGATGCTGCAGCTCAGCGAGAGGCAGGTGAGGAGGGGGGGCGGGACCACGCTCGGTCGCCCTTCTCCCGCCAAAACTGAATTCGGGGAAGCGGGGGTCTCCCGCGAGCTTCGGAGGCAGCCACGTAGTAGCGGGACCGAAGGCTCCTTCTCCCGCGAAGAGGCACCTGCCTTTGGGCCGAGGCCGGTGGAAGTCTCTGCGCGCGGTGCCTGCGCCGTCTGAGGAATGCGCGCCTGCCTTGGTCGTGCATGGGATTCCCGAAAGCTTGATGCCCCCCCCCTCGTTTTAGAGCGGTGGCCTCTAAAGTGGGGTACATGCGTCCCAAAGCTGCACAATATGATCCACTGAGGTGTGGGAAGAAAACATTAGAATTTATGTCTATTTTTCATTTAAAGCAGTGGTTCCCAAACATTTTGGTTTCAGGACCCGTTTACATTCTTAAAAATGATTGTAGACCCCAAAGAGCTTTGGTTTATGTGGGTTGTATCTATCCGTATGTACTGTACAGAAATTAAAAGTGAGAAATGTTAAATATTTGACCTTGTGGACCCTTAAAGGGTCTTGGGGACCCCCAGGGGCTCCCAGACCACACTTTGAGAACTGCTGATCTAAAGCAAAAAGAAAGAAGTTAAGCTGTATGAATACTTTATATTAAGTATAAAGAATATACCAAATTTATGTAATTTGGGGGGGTTATGTATCTATAATACGTTAGTATAGTAGTAGTATTTAATTTATAAATAAGTAAACATACACATGTTGAAGTGCATGCTATTTTTTTTTTTACTGATGAGGTGTGAATCAAAAATTTGGAGAGCTTTAGAGGATCCACTATGGATCACATTCAACCCACTGCTTGTTCATCAGAAAACTGGATATCGGAGGAGTTACTCCCAAATTCTACAAATGCTACCTGCTTTCTGCAGGCCTCATAGAAGCCCACTGGTGCGCTTTAATCAGTTGGAACATAGCTGCGTCCTCTCAGCGTAGGATCAATGCAATTACAGTTAGACCTCACTGTCACTCCATCTGATGAGCTCTTTTCTCTTGCTGGAGAAAGTCTCTGGATTTGGGAACAGAATGGGTGGCGGGTGTGTGTGTGGAGAGCCTGTAAGTGGACTTCATTGCTTCCAAACCTTCTTGTTCTGCCCTTTTAGGGGCCTGAAACAATATGACAGTGGCTCCCCTTGTCAGGTTCTTAAATAGGCATGTTTGGCTTTACAGGGTGGACTTCCTGTAGACAGGTTGGTTCAGAAGTTACATTTGAATTAGCTTCCCCCCCCTTAAATCTGATTATTATTATTAAAAAAAGATCTAGTAGACTAGACTGTCTAGTAGACTTTTATGGCAGTGCCCCTGTTTAATTCTGATGAGCATCTCAGGCCTATTCATCTGTAGGCAGTTAAGCTTGTGTAGGATTGAAATTTAGAGGGTTTTTCCCCCCATGTTTTTCTCCTATTAAGCCTCTTTCTCTCCCACCTTATATCATCTAGGTTAAAACATGGTTCCAAAATCGGCGGGCAAAATGGAGGCGCCTAAAGCAGGTAAGGGTGATGTTTTCTGATTTTGAATCTTACTAGCTTTCCCCAGGTTCCTGTATTTGAAGTTGATCAGAATCACAGGGACTGCTTAATTGTCTCAGTTTGCTTAAGAGGAAAAATGGCATTCAGGAACATTGGATCTCAAAAGCTCCTGAATCACAGCAACATGTTTGGTTTTGCAAAAATTGTGGCAAGACCAAAGCTTTTTCCAACCACGTCTAGATATTGTTGGCAGTTTCCTATGCTAGAAGATACACGTGTGCTCTCTGTTTACATGCAGTTAACACATTCCCTGGCTTCACACATTATTCTAAGCCATGATGTCTTGTTTTAACCATGCATTGATGACTGAATCATAGTGGCTGAGTTCACACATCGTGATAAGCTGTAAAATGTGGTTTATAACCACAATGGTTATGCACATATAGCCTGTTTTATCAAAATCAAACCAAGCACATTATACAATGTCAGTATGATTTCTTTTGTGTGGGATTCACACAGTGGTTAAGATATAGTTTCTTAACTTTGAAACTATCTGCTCTAGTTGATTTCCGTGGAACAGAACCAATGTAAAATCTAATTTGCCTAATTTTGATGGATTACCTTTCACCCTTTTGTCTTTGACAATTCATCTTCTCAGCCATTATTTCCAAACTCACAGTTAAATTTATAGCTCTATAGATGTTGATCTCTCATACAAATATTAACAGATCTAGTCCTGCTCATCTTTTTGAGATCAGTCAAAGTCAGGTAGATGTGTAGCTCATGTCTAGCTACTGTTTTATTAAAGAATGAGCGGCTCAATTGAGAAAATTAGACTTCTGTGCTGGCCAAAAGAAGTTTGAAATAGCCACTGCAGTAAGGAAGAGATTGGCTTTCTCATCAAGTAGCCTTGATTCTGTGACTTCTGTGTTTGTTCTCAGGAGACCCCTCAAGTCAACAAAAAAGAAGAGTCAGAAAGTGGAGAAAGTCTTCAGAGTTCCAAACAAGAAAGTTGTTTGAGTCCTGAGCTGGATAAGGGAGCTTCTCCAACCAGACCACAATATACCCCCTCACCTGTCTCCCAGGAAGAGTTGGATTCAGACATCTCAGATGATTCAGATCAAGAGGTGGACATTGAGGGGGACAAAGGCTATTTCAATAGTCCCCATCTGTAGCACTTGAAGATGGACTTTCCCTCTGTTTGCACTTTAAGAGGAACTGACTTGACAAAAAAATCAGTGCTACAAAAGAAAGGGTTTGTCCCTTCTCTTTCAGTTGGAGGGAAAGAGAGGGAAGGAATAACAAACTTTGTAAATAATTGTCATTGTGTTTGTTCAGACAATCCATTTGATAAAGGAGTAGATCCCTTCATGACTGGAAGGGAGTCCATTTCCATTCCTATATTTGTATTGGGATTGATTTTATATCCTACCCCAGAATGCTGCATTCTCCTCCATGAATTCAAACACGAAGATCCTTAGTCCACAGAAAAAAACAATCACAACAGGGAGAGAAAACATGAAAAAGGAATTTTCTGATGTCTCAAGGAGAATTTTAGTTCTTGGGATGCATCCTTTCGCAAAGATGTCACGAATGTAGTGGAATGCAGAATGAAATCGAAGTTTTGCATGGGTCATGGGAATGTCCTTCATGAAAACAGAGTGGAATAGCACATTCCATTAAAATAACCTTCCCTGATGTATGGAAAACAATGTAAGAGACATTTACTAGGTGTGTAGCAAGTTCTTAAATAATAGGAATAACAGTGGGAGAAGGAAAAGGAACTTCATTTTGGCATATTTTCTGCAACGAGAATGGGTTGATTTGAGATACGAGTGATCTAAGGAACTGTGCATTGGGCTATAATATCCACACTCATCAGTCTGTGGAGATTGAAGTCCATGGGTGGAAGGGAGGAGCTTTATGGTTATGTTCACTCATCATGCTTAGTCATAATGTGGGTTTTTGGTTTGTAGATCATAGTTTGTGGGTTTGTTTTTTATGTAAATCAAGCCACTGTAGTTATTCAAGAACCCATGGCTAAAAACATGCCTTAGAATGAACTATGGATCCAGATTGTATGAAAAGATTCTAGCTGTGTATTCTGGCTCAGGAACAAGAGAGAATCGTGGGAAGGATGTATTCACCAAGACATAATGTAGTATGTTTCCTTTTAGCTTAGTGTGATCATAAGTCATACTATAATGTCGTGTATGATCCAGATCATTAGAGCATGTTCAAAATCCTGGCTGGGTTTGCCTACTTATTTGTGGCTTAGAATGTTACATTAACACAGCCAGTGTGGTTTTTATAGCATAGTTTACATGTTGTATAGTTTCAGTAAACAATGGCCAAAGAATGCCAGAGACCAACAGACACTAACTTAGCTTTCCCCAACCTGCTACTCTCCAGATGTGTTGGCCTATAGCGACAACTGTCCCTAAACCACTTCTATAGCCCAAGACATCTGATGGGCACCAGATTAAGGAAGGCTACAGAGGACAGTACAAAGGAAATACTGTATTACTGTGCACCTCCACCAGGTTGCTGTCTTTTCAACTAACACTATTATAGTTTTAAACTTGTCTACTCAGACATAAGCCCCATTATGTTTAGTGGGATTTATTTCCCAGATGTATATAAAATCGCAGACCATTTTTTAAAAAAACTACAGTAAACAGTTCATTTTAATGCATTTTTAAAATGTTCTTATATGTATGCGTATATATGTGCATCTGTATGTTCATAAGGATGGGGACTAAAAATTTTAATGCATTAGGTTACTTGCCCTTTACGTTCTGCTAATCGTTTTTATATAAGGATCTGTTGTGTTTAAGTAGAGCTTGCGTGCTAATTACGTTTTGAGGGTCAGAAGGAGCCATGTGCACTACTAAGGCTAAGAAATGTCTACATGAAAACTTTAATGAGATTGCCTTTGTAAATGTGATGGTCTGTTACCTCTCTCCTGCCTGGACCTATTTGCTCTGCATTTTAGAGAGTCTGGCTCAGAAAGAAGGTATCCTCAAGTTGAATTTTATTCTGCTAACTGCACCCATGCAGGTTTCTAGGCAATGTTACTGAAATGGTTTGCCATTCCCTTCTTCTGGAATGATTTTTCAACTTCTACCCAGCAGTGATGGAATTCTCAGGCAGGCTGCAAGCAAAATCCATACCTAGTTGAAGATTATGAAACTATCTTATGGATAGATAGAAAGATGTTGGAGAGAAATTTGTGGCAAATGCATTTAGGAGTTGCCTTGACCAAGTGATACTGCTAAGCCATAAAACATTTACACATGGCAATTATGCCCATGAATTCTGGCATCTTGATTGAAGGGGACTGCAAAAAAAGAGATTGCATATGGCCCTGGGACCACTGTGAGTTGTGTGAACCACAGTTTTTAAACTATGGTTCTATGGCCAAGGTAAACAACCTGCATCCTGCAAATGGTCCCCATTGGTGGTGCACTGCATGTGGGGGCCCAGCACTCCTTTTGCAGCCTCCCCATGCCTTGGAATTGCACTGCTGAAATTTGGTGGCAGAATAGGAATTTTCAGTGGTGCAGTTTTCCCCCCTCCGAAATACAGGGTGGGAATGGAGTAGGAGGCAAACTCTGCCCATTTTCCCTATTAAAAAGTTCCCAACCCACTAACATGTTCTGAAATCATGCTCTAAAATTAGGCAATTTTTCTGCCTACAGTTTTGAGCCATTTGAGAAAGTTAGGGTAGCAGAAGCTAGAAATAGGAGTAGTTTGCCTCCTGGAGGCTGCCAATTCTCATTGCCTAAAAAACAGGCCATTCTTTTGTTTCAGGGGGGTTTAAGAGCAAGAATAGAGCAGTTTGGTTTTCAGAGTTCTCCTGTCCATATTCCTACTCTTAAGCCCCCCTCCAAACACCAAAAAAGGGACTGAAAAAAAATAATCTTGTTACCGGGCAGCCTCCTGCAGTCATCCAAAAAGTTGGGGGCTGAGATGGGGCCTCACTGCTTAAAGTTTGCCCGCTCCTGATTCGTGGCTTAGCTCAGCAATACACATCCTCCCCATCCCAAATATGACAGCTGCTCAACATTAGCAAAAATTCAATCTTGAATTGTCAAGCAGTGCTTTGTCTGTCACATGAAAACGAAAAGTCTGCATCTCTTTGTACCTGTTGTACAGTGAATAAAATAAAATAGAAGGAAATCTACTATGCAGAGCAAAAGGTGTGGGCAAGAAGTGAAGGTTTACTGTTTTATGTTTAGTAGCTCCAAGTTCTTGGAATTCAAAAAACTGTAAGCCTTCATGTTCTAGACATAGATTCCAGACTATGTACAAAATCCTAAGCCTTTGTAACATATCAACATGGTTATGTACACTGTCATCTTCTCACCTACTGTCTGGATAGGGTGACCCTTTAACGAAGTTCCTAAGTTTATCTGAGGCTATGTGTGTTGTTCAGATTTGTAGTAGCCACAATTGTTGGTTTGCAAGAACTGGAATTGGAAATAAAGGCTAGTCATTAGTTCAAATTCTAATTTCTGCAAACCAAGAATGTGTTGATGTGATATGTATAACTTGAATTAAAACTTGCAACCGTGGGCAGGTGGCAAGTGACACTGTCTGCATCACGATATCACACGAATGATGCAGAACGTTGTTCACATCATTTGCACAAAGATGATATGCATGACATCATGACTTGTACTGAACACCTGCGCTTTCAGCTTAAAGGATCATCTGCAATAGGGAGTAAGATTACAATGCACTTATTCCTCTTAACTTGCTACAGAAACGTAGCATGTTATATGGCCATAGCCATAGAGTAAGACGAGAAATACTGTGTTTTTATCCCTCCTGCTGCTGTTTCTGTTGTGTAGTTGTTACATTTTTATTTTGTTTAACAGAGAATCATATCAATACTTTTGGATTAACTTGTGAAATAAAACTGGGCCAGTGCCCACCCCGGGCAATTAGTAATATGCTTAAGTAATCAGCCATGCATTTTATGGACTATTGTAATAGATGACTTCCAAGTATGTTCAAAAGAAAGTATGTATTGCTAGCTGGGGAATTCTGGTTGAGAAACACTGCTGCAGAAGGAGTTTGAGAAAGGAATTTAGAGATAACAAGCTTTGGGCTCAGTAAATCAGCGTTCCTCAATTTTTAGTGAGAGTGTGCCTTCGAGTCAGTGTTGACTCCTAGTGACTGCCTGGACTAGTCCCTGCGGTTTTCTTGGCAACATTTGCAAAAGTGGTTTGCCCTTGCCTCATTCCTAGGGCTGAGAGAGAGGGGCTGGCTCAAAGGTACCCAGCTGACGTCATACCCAAGACAGGACTAGAACTCATGGTCTTCTAGTTTCTTCTGGTGCTTTTAATCAGTTCACTCAACTGGCTCTCTTCCTTAATTTAGCACTCTCCAGAGTATCTGTTCAGGCCACAGTAGAAAAGACTGCAGTATGAGAACCTTATTTAATTTAGCATTTAATGTTTCTTTAAGTCCACGTTTTCAAAAGTTTGTAAGAAGACCACTTCTCCTGAAACATTACTGCATTTTGGAGAAAAACTTAAGAAAGAGGACACTTGCATGCTAGATGTTATAAAACCAGAATATTTCACTGTAAATGTGTAGATTTTTTATGAATATCTTTAGAAAGGGAGCAAGAAACTTCATCTTTGATAACCTTTTTCAACCTAGTGCCTCACAGATATGTTGGACTTCCTGATTCCTAGGCCCATTGCTGGCAAGGGATTATGGGAGTTGTCCTAGAAAAGTGGTGCTTTTCTGGAAAGGTTACTTTTACTGTATGAAACAGTCTTTCAGTAATCTTGGTCAGCAATACATGTCCATTCAGAAGTAAGCTTGACAGAGTTCTGTGGGATGTATTCCCATGTGAGGTTATGTGCAAGGTCTTCCAGACAATGGTGCACTCTTGGAATGGGTTATGTGAGTTATGACACCTGATACTCTCACTGTTCATAATTGGGCTTTGCAGTCACAATGTATTCTTGTATCAGTCTCGTGTTTAGCCCAGCAAATGAGACAAAACAGCAGTGTAATCCCCTCTAGTGCTTCATGGATGGCTAAGTGCTCCCATTCCAGGGCGTTCTTGCCTTGCTCACATCCCAGTTCTGAACTTCCATTAGAGTGACCTGCTGGAATGGTTAGGAGGAGGTGCCCAAATGCAGAACTGCTGGGATACTAGCATTACAGGTGATGGGGATATGGAAGAAAATGGCTTTGCTGTCATGGTGGATGGGTTTTTAATACATCTAGTTATGTTAGCAGTTGACCTTCCACCCCCTGCTCCCATCAAATTGGGAATTCCCCCCCCCCCAATACATGGGGTATAGGAGAGGAGGATTTTTAATCATTTGTTTTATTTTCTGCTTGTGAAGAGGGAAGTTTCTTTGGTTTTTTTTTTTTTAGAAACAATATGCTGGAACCTAAGAGGGCAGGACAAGGCACTCATTTATTGTCTGGTTTAAAAGTAAGTGATCCTTGATTGGCTGGGAGTTATCTGTGCTCAAATATCAGCCCAAAAAGGCAAGTACTGATTACCTGAGAGTTCTCTGCAAGCTCTAGACATATAAACAAACAGCCTTGCTTACACTATTCTGATGTCCGAATAAATATGGAAACAGTTAAAGCAAATTGTATCCATGTTTTAAATTGATTGAGAAGAGTTAAGAGATGAGCAACCTGGTTGTCTGCTCAGGGGGTTTACTTCCCAGGAATTGCAAAGCCACAATTGTGGGAGTGTCCAGAGCTTTTCCACGTTTTCTTCATTTTTGTTCAGGTTAAAAAAAGTGGTAAGAAATATGGGACAGTTGCTACTGTAAGAAACCGGCATTCAACTTCCAAGCCAAATCCCATGAATACAGCAAAGCCTTTGCACAATAGAAGACTCATCTGGAAGCAACCTCCTCCTCCTCCTTTTCTGATTTTTTTTGTAGTTCTTGGTAATAGTGATGTAAGATTTCCAAGCAGAGCAAGTAATATTAGCACTTATTAGCACTTCCTCCCACCTTCCTCAGAGACAGTGTTGCGCTTCTGGAGAGGAAATAAACCTATATTTTGGAAATTCCCACATTTTTACTTTGGATAGGGTTGAAGGGCCCTTTAAGGATGGAGAGTAATTTAAATATATCAGAAAATTATGAGAAGCTAAATTGAGATCTGAACATATTAACAATATGCTTAGAATGACAGCCTACATTTATCACAAGCATCAATCTTCTGAGCAACCTGCTGCTTTGCAGATGTGAGTTTGGTCTCGGCCAATACAGACAGTGGCCAAGACCAGTGGGAACTGAAGTCTGACCACATCTATAAAGTCAAATTTCCTCACCTTGCACCAAATAATAGCTTCTTTCACAGCAAAGTCATTAAAAGAAGTTACACTCATCTTAGGTGATTTTAATCAAATGTCCTGAAAACAAATAGATGCCTTCAGAAAGCCTATGAGCAGAACATGATATGAGTATAGGAGAGTCTATTCACTGTTACACCCTACTACACAACTGTAATCTACAGGCAACAAGTTTCCATCATGACTGACAGCTATTGAATCATTTACAGCACTAATTTCAAGAAGTAAGGACTGCTGAATTCAGTGAGATTTATTGCCAGGTAGATGTATAAAGGGTTGCAAACTCCTAGGTAAATATTTATGGCAGCCTTCTGCAAAAAAGAAGTGATGGGCTTGCAACTGTCAGAATCTCTAGCCTAATTTTTGGAGTTACATGGAGTTTTAGTTTTAGAGATAATTCTTTCAGTTGGTATATAATGAGCATGAGAAGAAACAGAGGTATCCTTGGATGGAACTTGCAATCTAGGCCAAGTAAAACCACATTCAAATGACTGAAAATTGGAGCTAGACAAGGCAGAGAATCGAGTGGGATACAAACATGGAAAGTAACTGACAAGAAAGCACAGCTTGACTTTCACAACTCCTGTTCGACTCAGTTTAGATGACAACAATCCACAACCTAGAAATAAGTTCATGCTTGCACTGGTCTGCCTCCAGCATCATATGATATAGAAGTGATGTGTGATTTAGGATCCTCATTAAGCATTCATGCATACAGCATGAGCTTCTGCCAGGAGGGAGTACAGATGCCATGTGATCCAGAATCCTGTGTTTCCATGCAAAGGCCCCTGTTATAGCTATACCACCCCACTAAACCATCTCCTCTATAATGTGGATAGCAAGGTAGATGCCTAGGCCACACAGATGACTAACTCGGGCCCCACTGATTCTATGTATAACTAAGTTTGTGTTTTCAGAAAATAAAGGGCTTTTTACCTCTTTTTTGAGTCTGGAATGTGCGCTGGAACATTATCATAATAATCTACACTTTGGGCCTCTACTCTTTATAAGTCAAAGCTTCTTGCCCAAGCTTTTGCAAATATTTTTTGTTTAAAAACAAGTAGCTATGAAGACCCTGACTGCTCATTGGAAGGATTGATAATGAAGCTCAAGCTCAGATACTTTGGTCACCTAATGCGAAGAGAGGACTCTTTGGAAAAGACCCTGATGCTGGGAAAGATTGAAGGCAAAAGGAGAAGAGAAGGGCAGAGGATGAGATGGTTAGATACTGTAGCATCACTAAAGCAATGAGCATGAAACTGAGCAAACTCAGGGAGCCAGTGAAGGACAGGAAGGCCTGGCACGATATGGTTCATGGAGTCAAAAAGAGTCGGACACGACTTAACGACTGAACAACAACAAC